GAGTTTTATATAGTGTGCACTGTTACCTATCCAAAAAATATTAATTTTAAGACCAATGAGTGCAGGATATCAAACTACTTGGTGGGCGTTCATCTGTCAGGAACCCCAACAGCTGGTTAGGAACTTGAATCCCCAGACTTCCTCTCGAGTCATAGATGCAACAGCCTCCTCTACGGCCAGTCTGGAAGACTTAAGGATTCACTCTTTTCAAGAAATAAAGGGGGAAAAGAAGTCAAGCTCTTCCAACCTCCCAAATCAAAGAGATACAAAGAAGTAGCCTGGAAGAAAGAGAAGTTTAACAATTCCAAGGTAGATATATGTAGAAAGCTTATAGAAAAGAAGAACTAATATAAATTGAATTGGCCTGCAGAGATAACAACTGTGAAGGATAAAACAAAAGCCAGTGTCCCCACGCTGTGGATCTACCTCTTGACCTTTTAGAGCCTCAGTTTTCTCACGTGTATATGGGAATAATGATATCTACCTGAGTTTTTGCAAGGATCAAGGAAGACTATACAAGAATCTCACACAGTACAGTGCCTAGCACATTAAGAAGTTTGGTAAATGCTAGCATCCCTCTCCTCCCAAACCCTAGCGGAAGGAAGGAGATGCAGCAGGAGTGCTGTAAATAACCGATGCCTCCCTGAGGAGCCCAGGGCCATGGGGTCCTGAGATTCAGAGGAGCTAGCACAGCCTGAAGAAATAATTTTCCTGCGGCTGCACTGATCTCCCAGTTAGGAGTGTTTTCATAAGAGGGGAGAGTCCCCCCTACCATCCTGTGAGGATCAAGCCTGTCTTCCCTGAAAAAGTCACTCTGATTTTCTCTTTTCTTTTGAATATATATACTTTACACACTTACCATACGTCTAGAAATGAAGCTATTTAAAAGGTAGAAAAATGCAGTCCCAATTTTGTCCCACAATTCCTGCATCTTTGTAGTGGATTGAATTATGTCCCCCCAAAACTCATTGAAGCTTGAATTGTGTTCCCCAAGTTTTATGTATTAGAAACTTTGTCCCACAGTGAGTGCAGGACATCAAACTACTTGGTGGGTAATCCTATTATGGTCACTGAAAAGTGGAGCCTTAAGAAGCGATTGGATAGTAGGACCGTGCAGTAGTGACTGGATTAATAATGGCGGTCGGGGCGTGGTTCTCAGGACTTTAAAAGAAGAGAGTCTCTCTCTTTTGCTCTCTGCTCTCTCTGCTTCCACCATCTTGCAATGTGAGGGGTCATTGCCATCACCACCATATTCCTTGGACTGTGGATTTCCCAGCCTCAGAAACTGTAAGCTTATTTCATTTTCTTTATAAATCACCCAATTTCAGGTATTTTGTCATAAGCAACAGAAATGAACCAAAGCAATCTTTTTCCATTTTCCTGTCTGCTAGACTCAATGGGAATCGAAGAGGAGAGGAGCTTGAGGGAGAACAGGTGGAGACAAGTGGAAAAGACAGAGAGGGTAAGTCCCTTGGGTCCATAAAGGGTGACTGCGGGATGCAGCTCAGGACTGGGACATGGTTGCTGGTCTCAGCCACCAGGAAGAACTGTGGGTGCTTCACCATCCTCAGCTCAGCTTGCTTCCTTGGTCCCTGCCTCTGCCTGCCTGGGTCCTGGCCTCCTAGGAAAGTGTCTATGTCAATGGGAGCTTTATGGAAGGTTCTGGGTTGGGTGGGATGGGGGAGAAGAACAGAAAGTTTGCATGAACTGGAGCATGAAGAAACAGATTCCCTCCCATCTGGAGAGTGAAGTGGGGGAGGCAGGTGCTGCAAGAGAGGAGAAAATCCCAGGCCTGGCATCTAGACATTGCTCCATAAGTTGTAGCTCCCTTCGCTTGTCCCACTGCCTCTGTTCTGGCTCGGGCCCCCACCCTGAAACCTGGAAAAACCTCAAGTGGAAAGTCAAGCAAGCAAACAGATACAGCTCTCTGGCCCCAGGGTAAGAAAAGAGAAGTTGTACAAAAAGAGGAGAAAGGAAAAAAACAAAGTCACGTATTATGCAACAGGTGGAGTCCCACGTTGCCACACTACAAGGATCCCGTGCTGTAGTTCAGAGTTCCTGGGTGAAGCATTTCTTCGTGAGGCTGTCCTGCCTGCTGCAGTCTCCCCGGTGCCCTCCCTTCCTGTTTGCTCAGGGTCAGGGAGACGTTGGGGAAGAGACCTGGATTCTGGCCCTAACCCTACCCCCTCACTAATAATGAAACCAGAGACATGTCATGGCTCCTCTCTGGGCTTCATCTGACAGAAGGGAGGATGGACTCTTTTCCACACAGGAGTCCAAGACCCCTCAGAGCACCACTGGAGTCACAGGAACTCTTCCTAAGGGTCTGTGCCCTTGGCAAAGCCTCAGCCCTCATACTCACCAGCTGAAGCAGAGCCTCCTTTGAGAAGCCTCACCTCAGTGTAGTCCATCTCCTTGGAATGTGTCCACCTCACTCTGGACTTCTTCGGCAGGGAAGTTTGGCTCACCCTCTAGAATGTTCTGTCCTGTTCTGTGCTGAGCTGTAAGGGGTCACTATCAGTGGCTCTTCACTTGATGGTTGTATTAGTGTCCCATTGCTGCTATAACAAGTTACTACAAACTTGGTGCCTTAAAACAACACATTGTTCTCTGAAAGTTCTGGAAGTCAGAAGTCTGAAATCAGTTTCCTTGGGCTGCACTCTCTCAGCAGCTCTAGGGGAGAAACCATTTCCTCGCCTTCTCAGCCTCTGGAGCTGCATTCTTGCATCCCTTGACTCACTTCCTCCGTGTTCAAAGCCGGCAGGGTAGCATCTTGCTTCAGTCATCCATGCCCACCTTCTCTTCTGTCATCAAATCTCCCCCTGCCTCCCGCTTATAAGGACACTATGACTGTCTTTCCAGCCTGAGCAGATAATCCAGGGTAATCTCTCCATCTCAAGGTCCTTAACTTGATGACATCTGACATCTGCAAAGTCCCTTTTGCCATATAAGGTAATAGTCACAGGAATTAGGATGTGGACCTCTCGGGGGCCATTATTCAGCCAACCATAGTGATCTCTACCTTGTTTCAGGCCTGAGGATCATCCATTCTCTCTCTCTCCCATCCCATCCCCTCAGGATAGAGCTGTGCATCTTTCTCCAAATCTCCACCCGACCCTTCCAGACCATCCCCACTTCCCCTCCGTTCACTTTCCTTAGGCCCTGAGAAAATCCTGGGACACTACCATCAATGGAACTTTCTGCGATGATGGGCAGTTCTCTATCTGTGCTGTCCAACATGGTAGCCACCAACCACATGTGGCTACTGAACACTTGAAGTGGGACTAGTGTGACCGAGGAACTGAACTTTACATTTAATTTAATTTTAATTAAATGTAATTAAATTCAAGTAGTCTAGTGACTGACATATTGGCCAGCTCAGATCTAGGCAGATGACAGCAGAAGCTAAGGCCAGCCAGGTTCTTTGCGTCTAACCTCTCCTCATACCTGTTTTGGCTCAGCTCTGCCCCCAACCTCCTTCTCTCAGTCCCCACAGAATCTGAAGGCGGTTCCCACTGGGGCTCTGGAGTGATGGTGGTGGCTGAAGGCAGGACAAGGAAGGGAATTGTGACTTCTGTCCCCAGAGAAGCAAAGGGCCCCAATTTTGTTTTTGCACAGGACTAAGGACACTCAAACAGCTTACGAAGTAGCCTTCTCTTTATCTTTCTTACTCAGCGGGCTGCCCTTTTGGGGACCACAGAGGTTTGTCACTAGGGAAGGTGCACAGGAAAGGGCACTAGCCTGGGAGATGGCACTGGCCAGAGCCCTGCTGCCACACACTTGCTGAGTGGGCTTTGGCAAGTTTCTTCCCAGTCCTCGGCCCTCAGTTTTCATAAAATAAGAAGGTTGGACCACATGGTCTAAGTGTTCCTTCCAGCTTTGATAGCCTATGATTTTATGTGCCATGGATCAAGTTTTCTTGTGCATGTAATTCTGTTTCAGAGCTGTGTTCTGTCTAACAGGAAATTCTGATTGAAGGATGATTACGTACACGTGGCTTTAGGTTACCCCTAAGGTAAAGCATTTAGATAATGCTTCAGAACCAAACCAGACATTCATCCTCCGTCCTCGTGATAACACTTCCTATTTGCTTTGGGCTGCAGACTGCTGACCCATTCGCTAATCTGATTCTCATGACAACCCTGACAGAAGCTGTGCCTATTTTAAGGGAAAAAGCTGAGGCTCAGAGAGGGAAGGAAAGAATCTTCCAGGTGCCTGGCCCCATGAGGTGCTTTACACATCACTTCATAAGTCTTTCAAAGTGGTTAATATTACCCCATTTTACAGGGATGAAGCTAGGTCCAGTAAGGCGAGGTGACTTTCCTAATGTCACGCTGAGAATAAGATGATGAAGCCACGTTTCTGACTCTGAACTACTTCCCTCTATTCTGAGCTGCTGCCGCAATGTCCACCTTCCCCACAGGATGTGGAGATGATACCCCTGAGGCTCACAGCTGTCTTTTTGGATCATCCTTTTGTGCTGCTCCTCCAGCAGAACTACTAGCCTCAGCAAGCCACGCCACCTCTCTGTGCCTCTGTTTCCTTGACTGTAAAATTGGGGGCAGCAGCCCCTCCTTCAAAAGGGTGTTAAATCCTTCCTGAAAGCATTAAGTGTGGTCATGTATTGAGAGAGTTTAGCCCGGAGTACTTACGACGCACTCAGTAATTGCTCATTCTGTTTGTTTCTGAAAACTGTACTTTGTCCCACTAATAGTACCAGGCAATTCCCTTCACCCAAAATCTAATTAAAATCACAAAGAAACTGTCTACATGTTTTTTTTAAAAAAGTTTTATTATAGAAACACACAGAATCAACTACATCATCAATGTATCCGCAATAGCAGAGAAATGGTGGAAATAGATCGTCCCCATGGGGGACATGTGACCTTTGCCAAACAAGCATAAATAATGGAAATAATACCAAATATAAGAACACAGCACATAATAATGACTAAATTAAGAGGGACAGGAACTACTGAGAGGAGTCGTGAGCATGTAGAAGGTGCATCTCACTGAGAAGTGTCCAGGCTCAGGTGACCTTCCCTGAAGACCTCCTGTCCCTCAGCCTGAAGCAGCTCAGTTCAGTTCCAGGTCATCCATGTATTCCTGGACCCAGTCATCACTGGGGTTGGCACAGATTTGCCTGCCCTTTTTGGTTTGGAATCTGTAGAACAAGGAGTGAACAGATTAGAATCCCATGGGACTTTTGAGGGCATCTGGCACTATCCCTTGCCTGTGGTAGGCACCTCCCTCTGCTTGACCATGGTTCATGTTGGGCAGCTCTAGTAGATGGGACCCTTCTGGGGGTGGCATTGGAACCAGATTCCCTGTCGCTTCCACCCAATGGATTTAGCTGTGAACCCAGAGCTGGCCCAGATTAGGAACCAGTGGGTTTTGCAGTCAGTATGGGTTATACCCCCAATCCCTATTGCTCCTAGCAATGACTTTTCCACGTTTTTCTAGCATGGTTTAAGAAATCAGCCCTTATCTCATATGATCTTTCTGATTTTTCCTGGTTTCCTGGCCTCTGGATAACTTCCTCTCCAGGAATCCCCCTCTTCTCCTTTGGTTCCTACCCAGCCACCTTCAGTACTGACAAAAGTGGCCTCATGGCCTGTTCCTTACTGCTTCCTGGGAGGGCTCCTGCCCTGAGAACTGCCTCCCCACTGCTTGATCACTCCCTACCCCAAACATGCCCCCTTTTAATCCTGCCTTCACCCTCACCTCCCAGAGTGGCCCAGGGCTTGATACTCACACCACGGCTGGCTGGGAGCAGAGGCTGCTGGTCTCGTAGTAATCTACCACAAAGTTGCGAGGAAGCTTCCGCAGGGTGTAGGAGAAACAGCAGGCCGTGGGAGGGTCTGAGCCCACTGGAAGGAAAGGCCGGGGTGAGATCAAGGCTTTACATGCGAGCTGATCATTTTGGCTTCTAGTTATGCACAGTCATTGAGCATCCCTGTGGAGCTACCAGTAACCCCAGGTATGGTCCTTTGTATTCCTACCCCCCACCTCCCCAAGTAGGAGTCTTCTTCTGAGTAGAAGGCCCTCAGAAAGAACAAGAGAGAATTCTAGAAGATTACAACTGGATTGATTCTCAGATCATGTCTCATGCCCTTCATATTACAGATGGGGAAACCAAGTCACAGAGAGGGGCAGGGACTTGATTGCTTGAGCAAGTAATTAGAGGCAGAGCCAGTTAGACAGTCTGACTTCTAGCCCATCCTTTTCCTCTGCTGGCTACCAATTCTTAAGAAAACAGCAACATGAATGTTATTAAATGTCTGCTAGACTCTACATTTCACAGCAGACTACTTGGAAATCTTCCCAGCTCCTTTTGTCCCATCCCCAGATTCCACTGTGGGACTAACTCCAACTAGAAAACTGGATTCTGCCTACACCCTGACTCTAGAAGTAGCAGCTGAGAGAGTAGACTTACTTGGTGCCGAGAGTGCTGGAGAGCAGAAGACAGCCACCAGCACGAGGAGAGACAGGACAGTCACGCAGAGTTTCATGGTGTGGGTGAAGGGGAGGGTTTCCCAGCTGAGACTGCAGAGCCCAGAAGCTTCAGAACCTGCTGTGTCCTGTGCTGATACTGAGTTGGGAGCCCCTCTTTATAGGGACTCTGAGGCCTGGGGCAGAGGTGGGGGCTCAGGAGGGTGGAATTTCCAGGGTAGAGATGATGTCATGGTACCAATAAGGAAACTGAAGCTAGCTGATAGTGAGGAGTTCCTTACAGCTTCTCTTCCCCAGGCGGTGTCATCACGGAGGACAGAGGAGGGAGGCAGAAGGGAGGAGAAGTGGGCTGCATGTTGGGGGAAGCGGTACACCAAAGGCAGTGGCCGAGATTGGGGTGAGAGTTGCAAACCCCAGAGGAAGGATGAGACGTTGACACCTGCTAGGAGAAGCTTGTAGACGAGAACCAGGCTGCTCTTGCCGGTTGGTACCTCCAGAAGCTGGAGACTTCACGTCAGTATTTCCATGTTGGCCACAGTCCTGGCCCCGAGAAGGAAGAAGGAGCCAGGACTCCCACGTCCCGTTCCTGTGCCTCCTTCTGTTGGGCTGTGTGACTTCAGTGCCCTATGTATTTCCTTAGGCATAAAGAGTTTAGCATTGGATGTACAGAAGGACCCAGAAGGGCAACTCAGGAACATTTATAACTTCTTATTGGACATTTATTATGTGCTAGGCACTGGGCAAGCTGCCTTTTTTATATCTAATTTTATATCTAATCCTGCCATAATCCTGAACAGGGGTGTGATTGTTCCCATTTTACAGATAAAGCCATTGAGGATCACAGAACAAGCTCAAGGCCACACAGCTGGTGAGTGGCAGAACCGAAATTTAAACTGAGATTCCTCTGACTCTAACATCCATTTTCTTTCCATGCTGTAGTCTCCAGAACAAGCACAGCATGACCACAAAGGGAAGCCGTTGACCACTAGAGGCTTCACACACAAAGATCCATCTTATTAGGACTTAATTCAGGAGAGGGGTTGGGTAAGTCTGTCCTAGAACAAGAAGGGAATGGAAAAGAAATAAAGATTTCAGAATACTTTCTTGGACTGATAAGGAAATAGGAGAAAGAAATTAGTAAGAATCAAGTTGGCAAGACCCAGATAAAGAATGTTTCTTTAGTATAAAAATGGGATTGGATGGGCCGGCCTTGTGGCGCACTGCTACAGTGCACCGCTTGGGAGCGCGGCGGCGCTCCCGCCGAGGGTTTGGATCCCACATACAGACCGGCCGCTCACTGGCTGAGCGAGGTGCGGGCACAACACCGAGGGTTGCGATCCTGTTGCCGGTCCTGGTCTGGTACGGGCGCGACACTGAGGGTTGCGATCCGTTGCCGGTCACGAAAAAAGACAAAAAGGAAAAAAAAATGGGATTGGATACCTAACTATGAGTTTATCTATGTTATAGACAAAATGTGTGCTAAACTGTGGGTGTTACCAGCCAGTCCTTAGGGAACACCTTGTGTTCATGGAAAACTCTGACTGGTTGAACAACTGCTGATGACCTGCACAGAGGGCGATGCTTATAGAGGTCAGGAATACAGCAGTGCCTGAAGTAGGGTAAATGAGGGGAATTTGGATGATTGGATCAAGATCTCTGCTCACCTTTAGCTCGACTACTCTGACCCACCTGCTCACTCTGAACCCCACATTGCTAGCTGTGCTGCTCTGAGAGAGTAAAAAGAGTGAAAAGATGGAGCCAGGTTTCCTGGATGCTTAGAGGTATGGGACAGGAGACAGAAGATCAGCATCTTGGGGTACTTCAAGGTCATTAAATAAAGTACAATGTCATCCTACCTCTCAGCACTTCCCTTCACGACCCCCCCCCCAACAAACTGTACTTGCTTCTTTTCTCTGTTCTTTCTATCCTCATCCTTTTCTTTGTCTTGCCTCAAATGTTTGATCTTCACCAGGACCCCCATCTGCAGCTCTTACATTCTGTGTTCCCTGATATCACATATGCTAGTAGCTCTCATGGACTCTCCTGACTGTGCAGTTTCATCTTTCATCAAGGACCTTGCTTTAAGAGAAAGGGGATGTGTCTTGTGTTCCCCGGATCCACACAGACTTTGTTGTCAATGGCATTTCAATCCAACCCAATTTACTAGTCATCTGCTATTTGTCAGGGAAGACAGAGCTGAAGGAAGCCTTATCTCTGTCCTCAAAGAGTTCTTGGTCTAGTGATGGTGTTGACAGTGGCAGAAATGACTCTCCTATGAGGTGGAATGAGGTAAGTGTCATATCAGAGGTAGAAACAAAGTGTCAGGGAGCCTGAAGGATGGAGAAGGTTGTCTCTGGGCTGTAGATGGGTAGTTCCAAATTAAGTCTAAATCCCACTGTGTGCCAAGGAGGAGCCTCTGTCCAAATGAGCAGTACGTGCTGATCTTTAATCTGTGGAGGGATTGTGAGGATATCTGCTCTGGGGTGTCAGGAGAGTGGTAGATAAAATGGTGATTACTCTGCATTGAGCCACACAATGAGCGTGTCTGTTGACTTTTGCTTCCTAGCCTCAATTGGATCTTTGGCCCATGGAGGTGAAATGTTTTGTTCATGAAGGTTCCAACAATAACATTGTGTTCGCACCAGTGAAATTCCACCCCAAGAGTAAAAAAGACTTGTGTCAACATGCTTAGCCTAATTAATTCAGATTTATACACTGATGCCATTTCTAAATAACAGCTGGCAGAGAATGAGAACAAATGCCTCCTAAATACATGACAAAAAAAGCTATTCATCTTCTCTAGGGAACTTTCGATGACTTCTCTTCTAAGTAAAACTGGATTCTCCTCTGTGCTCCTACAGTCTCCTGAGCTAGTTCCACCAGATCACCTATCACATATCTGTTTATTTGGTTGAGCTCCTTATGCAGAAACCATGATATGCTTATCTCTGTGTACACAGTAGGTGTTCAATAAAAGCATGTTTAATAAATGTCCAGAGGCAGCCCACACTACCAGTTTAATGAGAGGGTATGATGGGTAACAATGGACTCGGAATGTAAACCCTTATTTAGCCAAATGAACAAACGAAGTGAGAATGAACTGAGTGTTCTGACAGTTCATCCAAAACAGTGATTCCCCAGCCCCGTTGGGGTGGTAATTCCCCTCCTCCCCCTGCTCTTAACCCACGCACCCAGGGGTTTTATTGTAAGGGATGCCATTCTTGGACTCAACTCTTTCCAGCTCTGTCAGCAAGGGTCAACCACAGCTCCAGGGAGCTCCATATGCATTCAGAAGGCCACCCCCTCACTCTGAGAGGGTTCTCCTTCCTCATCCTTGACTAGCACTGTGCTTATACTCCATTCTGGGCATTTTCACATCTCTTTTGTTATTTTGTCCTCCCAACTTCCCCAGGCTGTGGGCAGGTCCAGCAGCCACAGCAGTGATATGACCTTGCAAAGATCCCGGTACTTTTGATTTCCTCCAGCACATCCATGGTCTAAGATTTTATCTGATCCCGGTCTGTTTTGCCATTGTACAGATTAGGAAAGCAAAACCTAGAAAAATTAAGAGATCTGATCAAGGAGGTAACACAGGATGTGTGTCAAGACCCAAGGTTTTCCTACTTCTGGTCCAGAAATAACCAGACTTTCTTTACAAGTATGACACTTTGAGAATACACATGCTGGTAACAGACTCTCAGGCGAGATCACAAAACTGCTGAGGAGCAGAAAATAGAGGCAGTCAATACAGACATTCTGGCCTCTCCTAGGACAGTGCTGAGGTTTGTGAGAGTTGGGGAGACCCCCGGATGTTGGGGCCAAATGCACTAGCCTCCAGGAGGTGGAATGTCTGGAACTAGTGAGTTCCTTGAGGGCAAATGTTGACACTGGAAAGCCAAGGTGAATGGGAACATATGGTCATTTTGCCAAGACAGTAAACCAAGAAGAGGTAAATCCTGTGGTTTTACCAATATGATATCTAAGTCAATTTGGGGAAATGCGAGCAGACATTGATTCGTGGATTGAAGAAACAAGGACACAATTATTCAAAGTGCAGTGTTCAGGATGGAATCCGGAGGACAGCGAGCTGGCTGGGGCAGCTCATCAGAGACCACCACACTGGACCACTGAGCCCACCAGCACCACTCTTCTCAATGTGCAAATGGGCCTCAGTCACCTGACACAGCTTGCTGTTTGGCTGTCAAGCGTGAAGGGCAGTGACTTCAGAGGATGTTAAATTCCTGAGAAGATGGTAAAAAAAACCTCAACAGTATTTGGTGGATTCAAGATAACTTGCAATATTCCTTATGAAGCATCTTCCTTCAAATAGTGCTTTTATGCTTGTTTCTAGCCTCTTTCCATGCAGATCACAGGGAATACTCCAGCAAGGAAGAAAATAATTCAGTAAACCTTTATTGAGTATCTCCCATGTGACAGGCAGTGTGTCAGATGTCAGGGTATGTGCTCTAGAAGTGTCAAGAAAGGCTTCCAAAAAATGTGATGCCTGAATTAAAAAAATATATATATATTAGTTTATTTTTCTTTTATAGAAAATATGTACAAAATTTATTTTTTTCTTTTTATTATTGAAACATGGTTGAATGTACATATCTGTGGGGATTGTACAAGATTTAGAAAATATGGGAAGCCATAAACGAAAAACAAAAATTACCCTATTATTCTGTACCTAGTTTTATATTTTGCTACTGGTACATAATGTTCTTTCTTGAGCTAGTGTATATTGTTATTGTGACTTAATATTCTCAAACAGTACTCAGATATTTCATTGTTTGAACATACCAAAATTGTATTTAACTATTCTGCTATTTAGGTAAGTCCATTCAGGTTGTCCTGAGTTTTCTTTATTATAAATTAAGCTGAGACTTGAAGGATGATTAGCGAGGCAGAGTGCTAGGGTTACTCAGGCAAAGAACAAGAGACCTGCATTGTTTTGGGATATAAATTATATTTATTGAAATATTTCACTAGTAATGAAAATGGTAATAATGATAACAGTAGCTAGCACTTAACACGGAACTTACTATGAGCAAGAAACGTTCTAAGGCTTTCATAGATATTAATGTATTTAATC